AAACAAGGGCAAAAAAAAAAAAAAGAATCACTTTTTTTTTTTTTTTTGTCACCCAGAGACCCGCCACTGAGTAGTCCGGACTAAGGATATGGGTTTCAATTATTAAATAATCACCAATTCAAATAAGGATATGGATTTCAATTATTAACCAATCACCAATTCAAATAAGGATATGGATTTCAATTATTAAACAATCACCACTTCAAATAAGGATATGGATTTCAATTATTAAATAATCACCAATTCAGAGCCTCCAGTTTCGGAACGGAACACCATATAAGAACCACCATGCGTCAAAAAAAAAAAAAAAAAAAAAAAAAAAAAAAAAAAAAAAAAAGGTTCCTACCTGCAGGGTCCCACAAGTGAGACCTACCTGCAAGTGGGATCTCGCCCGAGTAGGGCCCTCTTTTTAATTCTTTTCTCTTTTTTTAACAAACAAATCAATTCAAGGGCCCATTCCTATTTCTTTTCTTCCTTTTTACTTTCTTTTCTTCCTTTTCTTTTCTTCCTTTTCTTTTCTTCTTTTCGCTCTTATTTATTTTTTTATTTTCCTTTTCGCCAGAAGTGTAACCTCGTTCATCCAACAAACATCAGGAAGGATTAAGAACATGCAACGCAACTTGCCGAAGAAGAAAAAGCAAAGAGAAGAAGAAGAAGAAGAAGAAGAAGAGGAAGAAGAAGAGGAAGTAGTCTACCACATGGCCGAGTGCCCAAGGTGACTCTCATATGTCTTTAATCCAGCCTCTACAACAACCTGGGCTTTATTTAAAAAAAAAAAAAAAAAACGGCTTACAAGCCATTTTGTGCCTCCATTGTTTCCTTCTACTCCAATCTGGAAGCTTCTGTCTTGCCCACCCACCCATATATATTTACACACACACAGAGAGCTGTCTCTTATACACATCTAGATGTGTATAAGAGACAGGTCCAAGATTGCCAACTCGTCCTTCCCAGTGAAAGCTGTGTGAAAGAACGGAGATATGGTGGAGGGAAGAGTGAAACGGGCCTCTACAACACCCTGGGCTTTATT